CGATATTATCCCCAACAGTGAAGTATGGTGGTGGCAGCATCATGCTGTGGGAATGTTTTTCAGCAGCAGGGACTGAGAAACTGGTCAGGAAAAGCTGAATGAAGCAAAGTACAGGGATATCCCCAAAGAAAAACTGTTCAATAGCACTCAGGACCTCAGACTGGGCCAAAGATTTCTTTTCCCACATGACAACACTCCTAAGTACACTGCCAAGACAACATAGGAGTGGCTTAGGGACAACTCTGTGAATGTCCTAGAGTGGCACAGCCAGATCCTGACTTGAATCCTATTGAACATCTCTGGAGGGGCCTGAAAATGGCTGTCCACTCAAGTCTATCCAACCGGACTTAAGCTTGAGAAGATTTGCAAGGAAGAATGACAAAAAATCCCTCAATCAGGTGTGCAAAGCTTGTCATGTCATACCCCAAAAGACTCAAGGCTATAATTGCTGCCAAAGATGCTTCAACAAACTACTGAGTGAAAGATCTGAATACTTATGCAAATGTGATATTTCACTTTCTTCTTTTTCATAATTTACAGACATTTCTAAAATTCTGTTTTCATTTTGTCTGAGAATCAGGCTGCAGTGTAACAAAATTGATAAAAAAGTGAAGGGGGTCTGAATGCTTTCTGAATGCACTGCATACTATTATTGGATAATTATAAACTAGCGGACTTGAAATATAATCATGATGTCTTTCTTTGCAGCCTTTTCCTCAAGATTAGGCAATAACAACAAGTATCAATCAATTTTTATTACATTCACAGACCAACATTATTAATAACAATTATGTGCAGTCATCCAAAAGAGGCAGATTTGGGGTATTACTGCCTTGAGTATGTGTATGAGAAACTTTACTATTTAATAGAAACTCTTTCAAGCAGCATACTAAGTATAGTGACATTATAAGAAGAAACTTTAATAAATCACAATTTTCTTCTATTCCTGCTATATTGTAAATGTTCAGTTTATGTTGATCATTATTAATAATACATACAATTTTGATTTGTTTAAAACAACATTGGTGGAATACTTTATCCAGTCACTTTCATTTAACTACATTTGAATTTAAATATAAATTTAATAGACTTAGATTTTTGTTTTGTAAAAGTAGTTTTTAAGTCAAAATTAGATTGTAAATACTTATTTTATTTTCAGGCTTATATTAAAATCTATCAAGGAGAGGAATTACCTCATCCCAAATCAATGCTTCAGGTAAAGTTTTATATATGCCTATCTATGGAAGCATGTAATGCCAAACAATCATATTTATAGTATATCAAAACAGACTAGAGACATTTGAAATATTATTCAAGAACAGAAGAACAGAAGCCTTAGTTTGATATTTCAAAAAATGTCCAAAACAGTAAGTACTTTTATGGACATTATCACTTAGCAGTGTACTCACTTTTGTTGCCAGCAGTTTAAACATTAATGGCTGTGTGTTGTGTTATTTTGAGGGGACAGCAGATTTATACTGTTATACAAACTGTATACTCACTACTTTACATTGTAGCCAAGCGTACAAAATGTGAATGGGTATACTCACTTCTGTGATATACTGTATATTTAGAAGCAAAATTTACAAAATTACTTATAAACTTAATAAGCAATTATTTATAACTCTAAGATTGCAAAGTAGCTACCAGAATTCACACTGTAAAACTAACATGCTTAAGTATGTTTGCATTTTGAAAGGATGTATGAAAATTATTACATAAACTCATCCAAACTGTTTAAATTTTTTTAAAAAATATTATTACCAATATTACTACCTTTTGTATTACTACTACCACTACTTTTATTACAACTGCTACTATTACTATAGGCAACAGCAGAAGCCAACAATCTTGCTGCAGTAGCTGGTGCAAAAGATACTTACAATAAAGATATGGAACAGGTAAAGTATTTGTATGAATTTATTTGAAGTTGTAGACTTAGCCTAATCCAATCTTTCTCAGTTGGGGTTCCACAAAAACCCAGAGTGCTGAGAGATTGGTAGTTCAACAAAAAATTGTGATTACTTTTTTTTTTACTTCATGTATTGTGCAGTATTTGCTGTTGTAGTAAGAATTTTAACATGCTTCGACCCAGCTACTTGACTGCTGATTTACTGTTGTTGTAAATGTTGTAAAGTAGTTTTAGGTTAAAAATGAATTGTGTTGAGAAGTTTTCACATTTTCCCCCTATTTTTATGAAGGGGTTCCCTGAAGACTGAAAATCATTTCAAGGGTTCCTTCAGATTAAAAAGGTTGATCTAATTTAGGAGATGGTACAGAAATAGGATTGTTTTTGAAAATATTATGATATTAGAACTATAAGATGGGTTATTAACTATTTTGTAAAGAATGCAGAGCAGTATAGATTGGATTCACAAATTGATTTAAGCCATAAAATAATCTGTTTGGTTTTGGCTTAAATATTTTGTGTGTTACCAGTCATTCTCATTGAGGTCACAAGTGTATCTTTAGCATTTTAAATACGTGTCAGATCTAGATTTGTTTTGTTTTTATAAAGTGAGCATTAAAAATATTGAATTCGTTATAACCACCCATTCTGATAGACTCAGAATGACTTACGGAATTCAAAAACAATAAAAACAGTTAAAGACATATAATGTACATACCCAGACTTAAACAGCCATCATAATAACAGTGAATAAAACAGGCCCAGGCTTGAGACTCCAGGGCTTTTGGGAAATCCAGGAGAGAAGGGCTGTCTTTATCTCTGGGGAGAGGAAGGCTGTCCCAGAAGGTGGGGCCATGACAGAGAATCACTGCAGTTGTTGTTAAATGAATCAGGCTTCCCCATTGACTTTGCTTGTCAGTAGATTGCAAAAGGTGATCACATGATCCCAGGACACTGCAACTGTCATAAATATGAATGAATTGCCTAGCATCCAAATTTTGATCATGTGACCTTGGAGATGCTGCAAAGGTAGTGTGAAAAACAGTTATAAGTCACTTTTTCCAGCGGATATAACATCAAACAGTCACTAAATAAATGGTTGTAAATCAAGGGATACCTGTAGTCACTTTCACAATCCAGATAAACTGCAGATGAAAAGCCAAGTGAGCCACTATGAGCTTCTTAATAGGATAGAAATACAATAAATAAAAATAATAAAGGAGTGAAGCTTTCCTTTATTGCCCTTACAGAATAATCGCTAGAAAATTCAGAGAGCACTTAAAAAACAGCTGTGGGTGGCTAAATCAATTGGATACAGTGTGAAATAAAGACACGTTTTATTGCATAGATGTGTGTAATATCACCAAATAACCAATCTAGACCCATCAGAATTGCATGAATTGAGGAAGATATCTGAAGGATCGATACAGTTATACTCATGAAGCATGAATAAAACATAGGGTTGCACTTTTCTCTAATAGCACTGTAAGGAGGCATTTTTCATTTTCTTTAACCCCAGCCATTTTTGGTTCATAATAAAATTTGTGGTTTAAAAACTGAATTTGATTGAACACCAGCAACAGCTCATATTTGAGTCTACACTGTAGTAATAAGGTTGGCAAAATATTGTTCCTCTGCCCTTATTGGGTCTGCTAATAGCAACCCAATGGCTGTGTTTAGAATGATGGGGAAGGTGCTGAGCTGTAAGATCATCTGCACACAATGAACAATAGTCATGTTATCTGCCAGATAAAGTCAATTAGATTCTGGACCAAGTTCAATTTGGACCCCTGAGGAAATGGATATGATCCTCCTGTCTGTTAGTTGGGGCACTTGTTTGTTAGATCTGGAGTCCTAGTGGCTTAAGGCATCCAGGAGCTGACCAAAAGCTGCACTGGTTGCCAGTTAATTCCTGGTGCCATTGAAAATGCTGTTCATTACCTTTAAAGCTCTTTCTGGTCATAAGATTTAGATATCTGAGACACCATCTATCTCCAATTACTCCTGCCTGGACAGTACATTCTGGCACAATGAATACAATCCAGATGCTTTCCATTTAATTTTGTCATATTGTGGGATAAAGGAAGCTACCTTCACTTAACAATTATGGCAAAAAAGGTTGTAAAATGGGGCAAAACTCACTTAACAAATGTCTCACTTAGCAACAGAAATTTTGGCTTATTTGTGGTTGTATGTTGAGGAGTGCCTTGTACATTGATAATGATTGGTCCATGAGTCTGTACATGAATGGGGATTTGATCTTGGATCTCCACAGTCTTTGTCCAACATATTAATTTTAGTTTTTAATACTTTAGCAGTTCTATAACTATAGAACTGTTGTAGGTTATGTAAGCTAACCAGTCAATTCATCCTAACAGGTTTGTGGTGGAGATAAGCCTTACCTAGCACCTGCCGACTTAGAACAAAAGCACCAAGAACTTAAAGGATTAGCAATTAAACATTTCCGTTCTGTGAAGAAGATGGGAGGTGAGGAGTTCTGTCGTCGTTACCAGGACCAGCTTGAAGAAGAGCTTGATGAAACCTATGCAAACTTTGTGAAGCACAATGAAGGCAAAAACCTCTTCTATGCTGCTCGTACACCAGCGACTCTATTTGCTGTCATGTTTGCTATGTATATAATCTCAGGACTGACTGGATTCCTTGGCATGAACTCCATAGCAACCCTGTGTAACCTCGTGATGGGCATAACACTTGTCTCCCTTTGTACATGGGCATATGTTAAATACTCTGGGGAATTCAGAGAAATTGGAACACTCATTGACCAGATGGCGGAAGTACTATGGGAACAGGTTGGTATCCATTTATCTACTCACTTGAAAAAAAAGTTTAATTGTTAGTATGCAAGCATTGGTGTAAAAGCCCATTCAATATGAATGTATGCCAAAGATAGAATACAAACCAAGACAGTTCCAAGATAAAGGAACTGTATAGAAATAGCAGTAGAAATCGATTTAGAATGTCATTCTTGGTGTCTAATCACGTACCAAGACTAAAAAACCTTAAGAAGAGAGATTCATGCATGTCAGTATAAAGAATGGAATTTCTGGAGGTGGACATTTGAAAGTCCATAATTGTGAATCCTTATCTAGTTATAGATCATGGTGTACAATGACCTACCTATCTGGTTGGCATACTAGATAGTGCGAATCTAAGATTAAAGAAAGTCATCAAAATGCTGCCCAGGACCTAGGTCTGAGGAGCCAGTGAGGACAGATCTGCTATCATAAAACAGATCATAAGGAAGGGGAAAAGAGATGTGGGCTTTAAACCTTGGAGCTGAGAGAGAAGGAAGTATGGTTAGATTCCTAGATTCTGCAATAGTTGGTTTTTGTCTTTATAAAAGCTTCTTTTGCATCTGCAGTAAAGAGCCCTTTCTTGAATTGTTATGCTAATGAATTCATGTTTGTTCTAGAGAAAGAGATTTATTGCTATGTCCAGCATGAAGCTTTGAAGTGAAATGGAAGGAAAAATAATGTAGATATAGAAGGGTCAGGCATCAGGGTAGAACCCGGAAGATTCAATTCCAGTCCAATTCTAACTTTAGAAATTTTGAAATTATTAACCTTTCTGCTTCTGTTCAAGAAATACTTACTATGTATTCATTATAGTCCATCCAAAGAGTGCGTATGTATTTGTATCATGACTGACGATTGTGGTCCAGATCAGCCCTGAATTATTTCATTAACTTTGCCTTATTTTTAGAACTTTGATAACCTGTTTAAGAACCAGCTGCGGAATTGCTGTCTTAATTCTAAATTAACTCTAAATCATCTTGTGTATTTTTCTTTCTTTCTTTTTTGCTTCAGAGGAGTCCCAAGAAGGTGAGAAAAATCAATGGAGGCTACTCACATGTATCTTTTCTGGTTTCTGCAATTGCCTTTCTAATAACCTGCTTCATATTTTAGGTGTGTTCCAAAGTCTTTGAAGTTGTTAGACGTCGAATGATTCGCCATGCTCTTGCCTCAGCACAACGGCAGCGACTCTCATCCAACAATAACAGGAAGAAAAATTAGCCAGTATTTTTACCTTTTTCTTTATCTAAAGCATTCACAATTCGTAAGCAGGACTGTGCTGGGGCAATGTACATAAATGCTATAAGCATACCAGGCTGATGCTGCATTATAGGGTATGAAACTACACCTGCTATTCTAGGAGCTATAAAGTTACATGGATTAAGTCAACTACCCAACGGAGGAAACCACTTATTGCTCTGTAAATTATTAACTATAAACTGGTAGCAAAACTCATTTTTTCTCTTGCTTTGGTACTGTTGCACTTTGGATACATTTCATACTCCATGATTTTAATTTGTAGTTTTTTTCCCATCTGAGATGTTTTTAGTTAATTTATTTTTACACATTTTTTATACTGCAGGTTATAAAACCTCTTGGGGAGAATTTGATTGAGGATACCATGAGACAATCGGTTACAAACTCTATCAAAGCAGGCCTGACTGAACAGATGTCTCAGCATGCCAGATTAAAGACAAACTGACAGCTCACCTCATCTCATCTGCCTGTCCATCCTAGATTTGCTTGTTGTACAACGAGAACTCAATAAACCAAAGTTTACATTTGACTATAAAGCAGTAGTTTAGTCTGCTTGGATTCCTAATTTACTGCCATCGTATTGTGGGAAGATAACGGTAGGGGTACAGGAGAAGAAACTGAACTGTTTTAAAGAGTTTATCTTGATTTGCTCCCACAATGTCATGGAAAGGGAAGATCTTAACCATGGTACTAGTGTCCTTTGTACCAGGGTCTGATTTATGGAATTGTATCCACTGTAAAGGGTTTTTCAGGGAAGTATCAAAACCATACAGAAATCTTTTAATAGAATGTATAATCACACAAAATCCCATTTGACGTTTTAATTTTCAGCATTTATAACCTGAGTCCAGTTGACATATCAGCAGTAGCACTCAACTGAGAACTCATGTTTGAGCCACTTCATTTATCTGCTCTTGCATTACTGCCTTCTCTACCAGTATTACCCAAATGCATGTATATTGTTCTCCACAGCAGCTTCATTTAAAGATAACTATAACATTGTCCTGCTTTTTTTTCCAGTTTAGAGACCATGTCTTTACAGGATATGCATATTATGGAAAGAGCTGCTTTTCTCTGCAGTTTTAGCCTACATGTATATACAATATGCCATTATTACTGAGGGGGGGCGGGAATCCATCCAAAAATATCAAAATCCGTTTCCTACAACTACAAAGCAATGAGTTCAGATTGTCTGTACAGTGTGTCTAGTTATTTTTTTAATCACAGGGCATGTATAAAATATAAATATATAAATACAATTTTGTATCAAAAGTTTTGTAGTTTATGGCAAAACCTGGTTCTGTGATAAGCTAAGTGCAGTCCCTGTAAAGGAATGTTTGTGGCTCATGTAAATGTGTGAATGCATAAAAACAATTTAGTTTTTTTTGATATATTTGTGATATTTACCTGCCTTGAACACTGCAATCTCATCCCATGGGAAATCAGTGGGAATGTTTGTTGTGATTGTCTTCAGTTACATTTTAAAGTTATTTCTTGTAATTTATTTTCTGGTACATTAAAATCAAATGTGTATATATGAAATTAAACTCATGATTTTATTTAAACATGTTAATGTAATTCACTGCATTACCTGCTGTTTAGAATGCTTAGCAAACTTATAATTTTCTTATATGTTCTTGTCATTAAGACAAGACGACATCCTGATAGTTACCAGCAAGAATTAAGTGAGGCTAGGTTGCACCTTCATTTCTTCTACATTTTGTTTTGCTTTCCATCCCCTAAGAAACTGATAGCTTGGGACAGTGGTTCTCAACCGTTTTTTCACCACAGACACATTTTAAATACCTTTTGTGGCCACGGACCATGGCCACAGACAACCAAGACTTAATTCAAGGTTTAAATCATATTTCTTCAAGCCTTTGTAGACCCCGTGACATCACGGCCCACTAGGGATCTGTGGACCACAGGTTGAGAATCACTGTCTGGGAGGTTAGTAAGTAGTCAGTCTAATTAGGTACTTTCTATCAGGTTCTGGGTGACGCACACACACACCCCACACTGCAGTTCTCCAAAAAGCCACAGTACCCATCTAGATAAAACTACCAATACAGATACAATGACTGAAGACACTCATGCCTGGAAGTTGAGTCTCGGCAACTGGACTTTTCTTTTTTGTTTGAAACATTTCGTTGCTTATCCAAGTAGCTTCTTCAGTCTGATCCAACTTCCAGACAAGTCTACCTGGATGACTGAGAATCTTCAATATGATGGCACACATGCACCCCATGTGGAGACTACAACATATGAAGAAAGATTGTAGGAATTGGATATGTCTAACTTAGTGAAAAGGAGTGGGGTGACATGATAGTAAGTGTTCCAACATCTGAGGGGTTGCCACAAAGAAGAGGCCAATCGGGTCCAAAGGATTAATTTGAAAAGTTCCATCAGAAATTTTGACAGTTTGGCAGCTATGGTTGTTATGTGCCTTCAAGCTGTTTTCTTTACTGATTCTTCTGGTCATATAATTTTTTTTTGTCTCTTAACAATTTCTTCAAATTAAGACTGTTTTGGGATCAAATATTCTTCTGAACCTTGACTGGCAAGATAGAAAGCCAACTTACCACGTAATAAGTAAATAACAAACATTTGCTAAATAGTTGCCGATTATTAGTAATCTGCTTTAAGTTCGTTTTCTATATTTAAAATGAAAAATCTGAAAACTATTTTAAAATATTTACAGTAGTTTATTTTGTATTAAACCCATTTTCAAACTGCTGCTATAAATATTTTTGAAGCTATATTCTAATTCATATGGTAAAGAACGGATACATAAGTTCCCATTTCATTTTGACTGTTTAAGGATCTGACAAATTAACATTTTAAAAAATAAATCTTCACTTTGCTAATTAGAGAGACAAGAGGAAGAAAAAGTGATTAGTTTTAACAAAATTTAGTGAATGGACAATTTATACGAAAACATAATTGTTTAATCAGGAAAAAAGCAGAAAACAGGATGACAATGAACTTATTTACAGAAATGCCTCTTTACAATTTTCATCAATTACAATTCCTAGGTTTCTGCAATTACACAAAGTAAATAAAAACCACAAAGCGCTTTGCACTGCTTCCAATATTACTTTTCACCAATTCTGATTTAGCAGATGCCTAACCATTTTGAAGTTACACTATTATGGTTTTCAAACAGCATCAGTAACAAGAAGAGTTCCAAGCAGTTCTTGGATGTGGTTATAATAATGTATCATGGCTAAAAGGACCTTCTCTCTTCTGTCAAGTTTCTTCAAATAAGATCAGCAACTAGATTAAAGAAAAACAGACAGTGGTTTGAAAATAATGAAAAGGTGACAAGTCTTATGCAAACCCTCACTACAATACAGACAAAGCTATTACAAATAATAATTGATCACAGGGCCGGCAACATTTGAGAAACAACTCACAAATCTTTCTTCTACAAATTCAAGGTTGTTCACTAGGCCAGTGTTTTTCAACCTTTTTTGTGCAAAGGCACACTTTTTTCATGAAAAAAATCACGAGGCACACCACCATTAGAAAATGTTAAAAAAAATTAACTCTGTGCCTATATTGACTATAGGCAGATGTTTTTCCCACGGCACACCTTACACTATGTCACGGCACACTAGTGTGCCGCGGCACAGTGGTTGAAAAACACTGCACTAGGCTAACTGAAAAGACCAAAGCTTGACTCATAAGCTCTGGAGCTATTTAGTATGTTGGGTTCAGATTAAGCGAGCTCTGCCAACCAACACTAACACTGTTAACCTGCGTGGCTTAAAAGTGTAACATGCCTTGTGAACAAGCCAATTGCCGTTTTCTATGTTATTAAAGCATTACAGTACAATAGGTGCTCCCAGTCATAGTTTGGATGATACTTAAGTGAAATATAACTTTACAAAACCGTTAAAGAAACTGAGTGGCTATTCTTTTTGTGGATTTAAGTACATTCGGAGCCAAGAGTGTCTATGGAGATTCTCAGTCATCCAGGTTGTGGTTGCCCAAAAGGTGCTTTTTCAAGAAGCAACTGGACTTGCTTGTCTTTTCTTTGAAGACATTTTGCTTTTAAGTTTTTTTCAGCTCTGATTGGATGGTGGGGAATGGAAGGACTCCTTCCATTCCACACCATCCAGTCAAGAGTTGAAGAAGCTTTTTGGATGAGAAGCAAAATGTCTTCTAACCACCCCCACCACCCCATGAAAGTCCAGTTGCCTCTTGAAAAAGGATCTGGGTCAGAGCCAAGAGGAAGAATTCCTTTCAGTAGAAGAAATTTGGCCTTGCTTTGTTCTCCTGAGCAGGTGGGAGAGTCAGTTGTTTTTAATTTATGTTGGGGGTGTGGGTGTGGGTGTGTTGTGTTTATTTCTAATTTGGTGCCTAACATTGCTGATGCACTAAAAGCATAGCTGCTGTGGTTCACAGAAACACCTAAAAAGCGAGTAAGAGAGCCAAGAAGGCAGCATTTAATCCCTTTAAATGTATCTTGTTCTGCATGTAACATTTTTTTTCTCATCAAACAACTGATCATTGTAATATCTATAAAATCTTGTGGTTTTAGACAATACTGAGGAAAAAGGTTTGATATGATTTTTGTGCTTTCTACATATTATAGTTTTGTTAATTTTTCCAATACTTTTGAAAAACAAATGAAAAATGGCAATGCGGGAAGCAAAAAAAATCTTAATTTTTCTAATATCCTATGGTTAACCATCTTTTACAAGAAATTAAGACACTCACCGTTCATTGGCATTTCATCAATCTGGGTAGAATAGTATTGCTCAATGTCTCGCAGGATACGAATATCATCATTCTTTACAAAGTTGATTGCAACACCTTTGCGACCATAGCGGCCTGATCTACCAATCCTGTTGGGAGATTACGAACCAATTAACATATGTGAAGCCAAAGCAGCTCACATTCAGTGCAATTCTTCTGTGACCTTTCCTGCCCCTGGCAGAACCAACTACAGCAAAGAACTTTTGTGTCGGAGCCTGGCCAACTGCTTACTATATATACTTAAAGGCAGAAGCATCTTTCATGTTAACTGACAGGATTGGCAAAAAAGTGGCATCCCCCCATAATTTTCATTTCATATAATTTTATTATTCAAAAATTTAACATTTTATGAATACATTTTAGAAAAACTATTTTTTAAAAAAACTAAGATTTTTTTCCCCCTTGAAATATACAAGTTTGCCTACCTGTGTATATACAATTCTCTGTTGTTGGGCAAATCATAGTTAATGATCAGGGACACCTGAGGAACATCCAGACCTCTTGCCCAAACATCTGTAGAAATTAGAACTCGGCTGTAAAAAGAAAAAGCAACAAATTTATCTACTCACAAAGGTGACACAATGGGTTGCACAATCTATTAATCTATTAATGCCATAGGAGGCACTTGCTGATTAAGTACCAAGATACCAGACTCATCTCAAACGCAAAAAACAACGAATACGATGAAAACTGACCCAGAAGATTAGCTGTCATTCTAAAATACTGATGCTCAAGCTAGAGAAATTCAAAAATAGATGTACACAACAATTTCATGTTACTCTAAGCAACCATCCAGAAAAAGCTAGAAGATGGTTTTGAATTGTATTTTGGGAGAATATCGGGAAACAAAAGTACTCTTACCTTGCTCCAGATCTGAACTCTTTCATGATTGACTCTCTTTCCTTCTGAGGCATGTCACCATGCATTGATGAAACAGTGAAGTTGGCTTCTCTCATTTTCTCAGTCAGCCAATCAACCTGACCCAGGGATTAGCCACAATTAGTTTTATATTGACATGGAATAACCTAGAAAAAGTTAACTTTCTCTATAATGCACCCTGCATCTAATTCTACCCACTTGTTAACTTGAACAGAAATTATGCAATGTTCTCTTAGAACTTATACTAATACTTGGCTGACATACCTTCCTCTTGGTATTACAGAAGATGACTGCTTGTGTAATAGTGAGTGTATCATACAAATCGCATAATGTATCAAACTTCCATTCTTCTCTCTCTACTGCCACAAAGAACTGTTTGATTCCTTCAAGAGTCAATTCATCACTAAGAAAATGGAAAAATATATCCAAATTAATCTTGTTTATGTAAAGTATTTTTATTTTACTCTTCAGTCAAAATGACTTCTAGAACTGTTTACAAGAATGAATAACAAGATAAGAAATCACTGGGCTACTGGCTGAACCTAGTATCTCTTATTTCCATTTCATTTTTTCTCTCTCTCATCTATAATTTTATATATTGGTTACCAGAATGTGATAGTTGTAAGGAATACCTTAATGGATCTATTAGACATTAAATTTAGGATACAAAAACTTTCACAACTGAGAAGATATTTTTACAATATTTTAAATCAGAGAGAAGAATTTGAGAAGGCAAGCAATGTAGTTTTAAGCATTGAACTGTTGCTCTGGGAATAAAAACATTAAAAGCTCTGATACCCTATGGTAGCGATGGCGAACCTTTTTTGGCTCGCGTGCCATAAGGGGAGGTCATGCGTGGGCATGCCGCACCCATAATGCAATGCACGATCTTCCTCCAG